CATGGTTTTTTTGGGAGTTTCTCTTCTGACCACCCTCCATGCACGATACACATGCCCTTCTCTTGTTTCTCTTCAGCATTATCCCGATAGATGGGTCCCGATCCATGCGTGCAATGGTGTCAAACGCCAGATGTCCAAAGCGCTGATGAAGTTGTAACAATGTGCCTTCTTTCAAATCGCTCGCAACGTCTGCATTCGCCCCTAATTCGAGAGCAGCCATGATGGTGTCGTCTGGACTGTGTATCTTCTTTTCCGCTTACGTTATGATGTACAAAAGTTGCCTTCTATCACAACGTAAAGCACGGCCACATCATCTCTACACCGGTCGACGCGCACGTCTTCCCATCGTACATAAGAGCAAATTTCTATCTTTCCAGCTTGCCGTACGAAATTATATTTTTCTTCAGTCTCGATGCAAGGTACACATATGTAAGCACAATGGTGCTCTCCACACCTCGTGCTATCACTTCAAGACGTACGCTGCCAACTATCGTCAGAATCGGATTCTTCCGATTAGCCATAGCGATCTCTTGTTTGCCAGCAGTCGAGTCGTTGAGCAATTCTTGTCGTGTACAAGATATCGACTATCCCCGCTGTCGAGAATCCAGTCGCTTCCATCAGAGTCAGCCGAGTCTCTCAATGCAAGCGCCATCGCCTGCTTGCTCTTCTTGCTGCTCTTGGGGTTACTTCGATCGCTTATTCGTCTATGTTTCGCTCAGTGCGAGCACTATACCGCCAACTGCGCTGTATTTCTTCGAATTTGGGATTCTGCTCTTGACCTTCGATCGACAGTCAGCTTGCAAGATTCCCGCTTTTCCGCATGCGTAGCAGACGCGCGTTTCTCTTTGCATCGTATCGACATGGGCAGCGACGACTTCGCGTCCAATTGACCAGCTGCTGAGATCGATCGACTGGGCAAAGAGCGCCAGCTCTTTTGCGTGTCGTAGGTTGTCGACACGCGTCAGGTCGTACTTGGCCCGCATGACGTTCATCAACTCACGCGACGCGTAGTGCACGAAATATCCAAAACCAACGAGCATGTACCTTTATGCGCGTCGCTTAGCGCAATTATGTAGAGGCAGTGCTCTTCCCATGTGCTCTTGGCAATTTTTTCTGCATGAAGAGCTCCATCGCTTGGCTAGACGTGATGGTAGTCTTAAACGTTGCAAGCATCTGGCACATGACATAGTCCAGCGTCGGCCTATGGTTGCACCACGTGTCTACCTGATTGTGGTGGTATCTCTCAGCCGTTCCGCTGAGGTGATGGCCAAGCAGGTCGACCTTGACGTCCTCACTCCAAGTGAAGCCGCACAAGGAATCATCCAGATTGACGTCACGCAAGAACGTCCGACTCCAATTGAGAAATCCAGACCCAACTCCCTTGTAAATCTCAGTTCCTTCGATCTTACAGATCGAAAGCTTGCGCTGTCTAGCGTTCAGAGTTGCGTAGAACGCAATCGTCGCAGGAGATTGAACTGAGGGTACTGGTGCTGCTGTTGGTCGTCAAGCAGTGGCAGGTGTCGGCACGTGTCCGTGCGTCAGACCTAAAGACGCAAACATCGACTCTTCAAGATGAGGTAAACGCTCGCGCATTGGACACAGAGCTGGCTTGCTCTCGAGTGATCCTGTGAGCGTGTCAACGGCCATTGGCTTTCCTCGCGCGTTCGCATCAAGCGCTTATGCAAACATCCTGCTCTAGACGGCACCCATCATTATCTCTTGATATTTACGCTCGCGCTGGGAAGACTCTATCTTCGCCATGCGGTCGGTCAGAGCGGCGAGGGCCGCGGTAACCTTGTCGTCTACCGCCGAGCTCCTTTCGCGAGCTGACGAGTCTTCAAAACGCTTCGGCAGCGCGTGCCGATGATGGGACGTGCGCCGGCGAGTCACCACGATCCGGAAAAGTCTTCGCGTTACCTGCTGGTGCCAGTGTGTGCTTCTTGTCCGTTGTCTTGGATATTAGGCTCAGAATTTTTAGAAAATACAAGATCTTATGGAAGAGGGTGATAAGATTCTAAGTAAAGATGAATTCCTCTTCTCTTAGATACTCTGTCACATCACTATCTCTGCTCCAATTATATCGCAACGGTTGGTCGCTAGCACTAACTACTTCCATGCACTATGCAAAAAGGAAACTATGGCTGGCGCTAAGCGCACCTTCAACTATAATAATCCTCAACTTCCCAACCATGTGACTAGCCGATAGCAAGTAATCATTAAATGCGTTACGTAAGAATGTAGATGTTGAAGTACTGCTCGAGGCGATGTAGTGGATAGTTCAAGGTTCAGTTGATAGAGCCAGATATTGACTTCGACCGCCCGCTCTTCAGAGTAGTGTTCGCATACCGGTAACTCAGGTTCGAGCGATGTGCAAGGCTTGCGGATAATTGGATTTTGTTGAATGCACTAGACAAAAAGAAAGGTTGGCAGACTGTCAACTTATACATCCACTTTTTCTTGTTACAAGTGCTTTCTATCCGACTACCACTTTCTTCATTACATATATAAATTTGCTTTACAACCGCTAGACCATCAGGCTACAACCAAACATATACATATATCTTCATCCCTGCAATAAACCATATAGGTTTTGGTCAATGTAATGCCTACAAAAGAGTGCGAGTGCGGTATTGGGGCACATGGGGTGGGTGGGGCGAAGTATACAAAATGCTGAAGTGACAACGACTCTACACTTGTACCCAGATGGCCGAATATCAATGGGGCACATCCGTCTGTTTGACGTCAGTATAGATAGATGACACTATGTGAGTGTAAGTACAACGGTCTCAGCCTTACAGCAATTGTAATGATGCATAAGTAGCCATAAAGTGCTTAACATCGAGCGTATGTTGCTTATACCCGGGACGTAGCATGTGAGACACATCCGCTAGCCGGTAGTGCAAAGATACTGGTAAGTAGCGCAAGATGATACTCGAACTAGTCGGCAGCTACTTTCTTTGTGTGTCTTGTGTACGCATGTGTGTCTGTAATCCACGCAGGGTATACTGCACACATCTTGTTAGGCCGACCTAGCAAGGGGCTGACCGTATGGTATAGCTGTGTATCAGGTGTTTATCATTAGAAAGACTCTGATGGCGACCAAACAGAAGCCTGCAAGTCACGCATGTGTGTGTAAGTGCACACGAGATTGGCCGAACATGAACAAGAGTGAGCTCGCCTTTTCAACACAAAGGGATGCACCGCGAATTGATAGTCAATTACAGTAACCAAAGACGCGTGGCACCTTATCATTCGACTAAGCACTAGAAGAATTTGCTACTTACATATTGAGCATTAAAGAGTCGCACTTATAGCCGTCAGCGTGCACAACGATCACTTTCTTGGCAGTATCGATGAAACGATCGAAGTTCTTTGTTGTAAAATGTGACTGCTTTTCACTTAGCGGTAGATGGTGCATCTGGACACAAGTCTAAGTACTCATCAGTCATACATCGTCAGTCTCACACCGTTGCTAGAGTCGAATGGACAATATATGCCTTTTAGCTGTTCACGTATCTTTCTCTTCGACGCCATAAGATCGCCAACAATATGAACTCATCACATGAGATCCACAGCGACATGTAGTTTTGGACCTTACAACGCACCATCTGCCCCCAGCCGACAACCCAATACTGATCACAGTGCACGTTATCTGCACTGATGATAGTGTAGCCATGACTTGCTCATGAAAGAGTGTGCACTGAGCATGGTGAAAGGATTCGATGATTACTTCTATGCTACCATCATCCCGCATGGGCCGCTTACTTGCGCTCTCCATACTGCTCTTACCCCGAGATTTTCCCAACCAGTCGACCGGTAGTGGTAATCTTACTACTACCCTCATCCACTCAATCGGTCGGTGTTGTACCTAACACCTTGTCCACGCAGTCAGATACTACAAACTAGTGTCGTCAGCCGCCTCTTGCACCTTTTTGCTTCCATGTGCAATTGCCTTTTGACATGTATTCCAAAACTGCACGTGCGCGGTACATATATAAAGCGTGTGCAAGTGAATGGAAGCGCTTGGCGGAATACAAAAAAGAGGAATGCGCACGATATAGCGATGTCACTATTGATATTTGATTTCATGGTGCTGTATACTAACGTTCGCAACACGTTGAAGATGCACCAGAAGTCAGAGGCAAGTTTGTGCGTTCAATGATAGGCTAACATGGCATAAAACGGATGCAACGCGTAGGAATCGATATTTCGTTCAGTTTCTTTGAGGTTTGCTACTGGCTTATACGTAGCATGTGCATGTGAACGAAGGACTTCAACCAATTGATTGCTTTCCCTTTCCTATCGCTAGACTATATCATTATTTCGGCCCTTATCTTTCACACAGTAAACTACCGCTTTGACCATGCTAAAATTACATCAAACAACAAACACGCATGTCGACACCTTGCTTGCCACTTATTGCAGGCGTCTGGCACTATCGGTATTTTTATCTGCCCGCATTAGGTCTATTGTTCCTGTCAATGATGAGTGTACCACTAAAATCGAAGAATATATTTCGCAAAACTAATATTTACCTTAACATTCTTGCTAGCGTCAATATGATGTATTACTCACAACAGAGGGGGGGGGGGGTTAGCTCCGCAGCTTGCTTGTCAATCTTGATCTCTCCAAATTACCTACCCACAGGAATATGACCGGACACGATCCGGTACGACGCTATGCACAACTGTTGTTATGTCATATCACGGGCATAGCCTGTTCCACTGCTCGGCTTGCATGACTCGGAATCTGGCCGACACTCGATCGACTGTCGGTCAGATTCGCAGACCTGCGAAACAACAGCCGTTCACGTTCCCTTTCGACTCCTTTGCGCTTCACTTGACAGGTGTGTGGAATAGCTCGACTCTGTCCAAAGGCTGTGCTCTCATCGATGGCGCGAGAAAGTGTCGTTGAGCAATGCCAATATTGTCGCGGCAGAAGCCCTGGAAAAGCACCGTAGCGCGTCCTTCAACACAGCTGCTCACTCCCTTCCCAGCAGGCTAGATAAAACCAGAATCCTCCAGGTCTATGTCGTCGTCGTCGTCACCTGTGGCCTTTAGTACCTTACGTGACAACACGAGCAGCAGAGATGCAATCGTTCCGACGACACCAATGATGACCACCACGAGCGTCTGGTCGAAAGACGTACTTGTCACATTCGACGAGGCCGATTTCGTCGAGTTCTCGAGCACATCAGTTGCAGATTCGTCCGAGAGCTCTCCAGATCGACCTCCCGGCGTCGCTCTGTTTGCGATAATCGACGAAGACCAGCCCTTTGTTGTCGTGTCAGGAGCATCAGGTCGTGGTGGCAACGCAGCAAGTGTCGGTACCGAAGTCCACGCGACCGTTGGCGCCTTATCCGTCGCAGCTACAGTCTCAATGGTCCCATTGTTATAAAACTTGCCGCCTGCAGTACCGTCTCCATTGCTCTCTCCGCTGTTGTTTGCCTCGCCATCTGCATTGCCGTCTGAACCGATGTCTGCGTCGGTGTCTCCATTGCCGTCTGCACTGCTACCTGTCTTGTCTTCTGTCTTGCCGTCTGCGTCGGTGTCTGCATTCACGTCTGTATCGATGTCTCCATTGCTGTCCCCACTGCTGTCTGTATCGACGTCCCCATTGCTAACTGCATTGCTGTGGGCGCCTGCATTGCTTGACCCGTCATCTCCGTGGTCGTCATCGTCATCGTCGTCATCGTCGTGATCGCCCTTGTGTCTCTCCTTCTCGTAATTCGCGCTTCTCTTCGGACGTACACTACATCGCATACCGCTTGTCGTACCAGTGGATGGCGCTGCACTCGGCAATGTCAGCACAGCCTCACGGTCCGCGCTCACAGACGCACTCGACTCCAACTTCAGATCCCTAGCCGACTGAGCTGCTCCCGTCTCCGCCTCTATCTCGTTCACAGACCCACCGAACGCGAAGACAGTGTCGCTGCTGAGCTCACTGCCGTCTCGCGCGCGTGTCGTCACGGGAAGTACACTCGGCCCCGAGGAGCCCTTGACGACTTCCACCGCTGCGTCCGCGTCGGCAGTGGCCTCCCACGTGTCCCCACTCTCCCCGCGTTGACGCAGACTGCGAGCGTCGGCCATCGGAAGCAGCAACACGAGCGCAGACACGAGAGCCACAACAGCAACAGAGCGTCGACGCCGTCGCGGCGCTAGGTACGCGCCCATGAGTCGCTCCTCGCGCTCGCGTGTTTGCCTTACCAGCTACAGCTCCTCAACTGCTGCAAAGGTGGACGGACGAGAGCGCAGCAGCAGTGGTAGTAGTAGTAGTAGTAGTACGGCCTCGAGAAGCCACGCGCTAGTGCTTAACCGCCGACTGTGTCTGACTTTCCCACCCACTTCTTTGACAGCGCGCGTAGAGTCGAGCGGTCGGTGCAGAACCGCCGCCAATGTCTCTTTCGGGCACGGCAGCTACTCGGGGGGAGACCGGACAAGTGACTGTGCGGTACTTCCCACGGGCCATGTGGTCGGTCGGTCGGTCGGTCAGCGGCGCACGACTGGGGCAAAGGCGCGGGGCGGAGGAGAGCGAGAGACCTTTTCGAGAGGAGGAGCTATGTGTCTCAGCAAAAGGCGCGTGATGGGCGAAGTGGGTCTATGCGACACGCGCTGCTGCTTCGCTGCAAAAAGGACACGCAGCGCCGTTACAATTGGACGCAGAGAGCGGGATGCGCACTCGACGGCGCTCATGTCGCCAATTGTTGCCGTTCCATGCGTCGATCGGTGCGAGTGAAAGAGCGGCTGTGGTACACGTACTGTGCAAGCGATTGGCACAGGAGGGGCTCTAAGTTTGGAGCTCCTGAGCCAATTAAGTGTTTGACCAGCAGCTCCGACGTTACGGGTGACTGGATACCGCCACCTGATGTGGAAAGCTGAGTTCAGACCACATGGATAAATCGAAGGGCAGTCGGCGCCCGTTCGTTTCTGTGGCTTCGCTTTCGCACGTCCCGGACGTCGTTTTGTCCCCATCGTCGCTCTCTCTCTCTCTCGCATTGACTCGGACTGCACTTTACGATACTTTTTTGATAGATGAGTTGTTGTTACAACGCAGCTACACTCGGTAGGACAAGTAAAACGCACGACACGTATCGGGCAATTGCATTGTACTTAGTTTACTTGAGGTCCGTCAGTCCATGCGCTGCAAAGACGGTCTTGAGCTCCGCAATGACGAGCAGCAGTTCGGCGTGTGCCTTGCGCAACACGTCAAGCGCGTCGCCTTCCCCTTTGTGCAGCTCTGCGAGGATATGGCTGCGCGTGGGAATCGACCCGAGCGCGGTGTTGACGCCTTTCCGAACAAGCCATGGATGGCGCTTGCCCAGAGTCTCTTCGTACGCCTTGCTGGCGCCGTTGTAGCAGTTGTCGTCGGTCGAGTCCAGCAGCGTCAGGCGTACGCAGGCCTCGACAAACTGGATAAACCACAGTAGACGCAGTAGGCACCGAGAGCACGACGGCTTCTTCTTACCGCCCACATCGGCCACTCCAAGACCCACCTCGTGTTCAATCACAGCTTTCACACTCTGTCCTTTCCACGAAGCTGACGACGTCGGCTCAGTCCACGTCTCGAGGTTGTGGTCGATCGACGTAAAGTAGGCTCCGACAGTGCTGCCAGCAAAGGAGGTTGCTCGGCCAAAGACGCCGAGGAAGCCGCAGATGACGTTGCAAGTGCTTATGAAGCACTCGAGACTCAGGTCTCCATCTGGTGCACGATTCCTCGCCCCATCTTCGAGCGATGCCACGAGCTTCTCGACTGTCACGCCCTCGTCATCGATTTTCTGCTCAATCACCTTCACCTCCAAGTCTTCGTCCTGAGACGTGTCAGCCATCAAGGGAGCCGCTGAGTCAGGACCACAGCGCTTGCCACCTGCGCTGGCGTTCGACAGTACACGCTCACGCTCGTGTCCACAACTGCTCGTACTCGTTCGACGGTGTCGACGACGACGACGCGTGTGCGGTTTCCTTGCAGCCCCCTTTCCATTCCTTGGTCGAGACAGCTCATCGAACAACACCAGACCCAGCAAATACGTGCCCAGCGTGTGCACCGATAGCAAGTTGTCCAGGGCACGCTCCACGAACGAATACGACAGCTGCGCTCGACTTGCAGACTGCGTATCCGAGACAGAATCGGCGCTTCGACTGTAGAAAACCACACGCAACATCACGAGCACCGCAACGACCAGCAGCGACACCCAGTGGCGCGCACGCAAATGGGACGGGTGGAAGCGACCCCGTTCCCCGCTCTGCCGTGTCTTTGACGCTCTCCCTGCACCAGATTGGGCGTGCTGGGCAGCAGAGGCTCCACTCAACTTGGTCGCCCGAGCTGTGTCCGACGCGTGGCCCGCCTTTGTCACCTTCTGGTTCGTTGACGGCGCCAAGTGGCAACGTGACAGGCCATGGCCAGCACCAGCAGCAGCTGCGGCGTTGTCTCGGTCCTGTTTGTGCGTGTCGCCACTTGGCATCGCTGCAAGCGGCGGCGAAGCGTCGGGAGACGGCCCCATCGTGTCTTCGCCACTGCCCGTTTCTATGTGCATGTAGTTGCGCGCACAGGGGTCGCAGAGTCTCGAGCCCTTTTTGCGCTCAAGCCGTCGATGCAGCTTCATGCGGTTCTTGCTGCAGTCGTCGCAGATCTTTTGCGCGCACAGGCGACACGTGTGTTTCGCTCGGAAGACGGTGAACGAGCGCTCGCAGATGCTGCAGCCCCCGCGCGCCGCGCGGCCGCCCGCGTGGGCCCCGTCGTGGACGTCGCTCTCGTCGTGGAGCAGCTCGTCCGTGTCGCCTCCCGCGTCGTCATTGAGCTCGAGCGGCGGCGGCATTGCGGGTGGGGGCAGCGCCGAGCCGCGCGCCGTCGTGAGCTTCTCCTTGTTGGCCGGACTCTTGCGCACGCGGACGTTCTTGAGCTCGTCCACGACCTTCTGGCGCAGGTTCCGACCCGCGCCACGACTGCTGCTGAACGTCAGGAGGGGCGACGTCGTGGACGCGGACGGCGGCGAGACGCCAGCGCTGCCGAGCGCAGCGATTGGCAGAGGCATGAAGGCGGTCGCTTCGCCCATGTGGGCGGCGGGGTACCGACGCGGGGTGCGACACGGTCGAACGCGCACTTGTGATTGGCCGAAAAGCGATCGAGGGCGAGCAGCGCAAATGAGCAAATGCGTGACGTTTTGTGACTGCTCTCTCTATGCACAATCCGTCCGTCCGTCCGTCACGGAGTCCGTCACTCAGTCAGTTGCTGCGTCGCGGGACTTGTGCTTGACTTGCCGTTTGTATGCTCCATGAATCGAGCGGGAATAGGGCACGGACGCGGCGTTCGTGATGTAGCACACCTTAATTCAGTCGGAGCGCGCCAAAGAAGGGACACAAACGGCACGCGTGACGTTGCGCTCGAGGCACAGAGGGCGGACAGAGAGGACGCGGCTGGACCGATCATAGCGTCTGCCTCGCACCAAAAACAACCTGACAGTTACACACGGCGCGCGACGCCAGAAATAAAGTGCGGTACGTAATGATCTGCTCGTGTGAAAAGGGCGGTCCGCAAACGAGCCGGTCCTTTGTCGCCCCTTCGTGGCCCGAGTCGACCACGCGAGGAGGGGCAGTGCTGCTACTGTACGTGACGAAGGCAAACACACCTCACGACCATTCGTCAGTGGGGACGAAGGAGTTGGTACGCATAGAGCGCGACGAGGCGTTGCGGTCGAGTCGTGCAGTCGTGAAGCGAACACGACCGAACGCCAGTCGATCGCCCGGCAGACGGACTGAAACTGAATGAAAAGGCTGCGAGTTGATGCAAAGAGAGCGACTCGAGGAAACAACACAACACGTGCCGTGTAAGTAGCGACTGGCGCGTACAGTCTCCGAGCGCACCAGCGCGTAAGCGCAGGAACGAACGGTGTCGATCGAAAGGGTCGATGCAAACTGTTTAGCACATTGTGTGCGAATCGGGCGGTACGTGCAGGAGAACTCGACGCCGACAAAAGCAGTCAAAACATGTGTTGCCGACGTTTGGAGTTGTTGAAGACGACGTGTGGTGCCAACTGAACGACGAAAGCCTCTGTCGCTGCTTCCAGACGGTTTCCGTCTACAGAGGATGTATCAGCCACCGCCACCCATTGACATGTCCACGGAGACCCAACTCGCATGACATCGCTTCTCCTTGTTGTCCACGTTCACGCGCCAGCGACTTGCAGCTGACTTGTTCGTCGTATTCTGCATCTCCTCGCAGCTGCGACGAATGCGTACCGAAAGCCATCGACCTCCTGCCTCTGCGACTTTGCGCGGACGGGTCGGGCGCTGTGGCGTGTTTCGAGTCCCGTCTGCACCTCTGTATTCCCTATCGCGTTGTTGACGACCACGCAAGACAAGAGTTGCGCGTGTCTCCGTCGCCCGACTGTCTGTCTTTGCAATGCGCAAAAGTCCCCGCACTCCTCTACGAAATATCTCGAGGCCATGTCATCCTTCGATCCAACACCACTTACCTGCCTCCTCTTTACACCACCTGGTCCTGCTTCTGATTGCTTAGACGAGTATTCGCATGTATCGGATACTAACACGAGGTTCTTCCACGCAGTTTGGCTCGTCACTTGCGATCGCATGTTCCCCATCATGTCGTGCATCGCGTGCGGTGCTGCACAATCGACGACGTGTGCATAGAATCAAGTTGCACCTGATCTTTTTGGCATCCAGGCAGAATGCCTAGGGCCGCCTATGTGACTGGAGAGGAATCAAGCGTTCGTAATGCTGAGGAGGTGAGTGTTTGGATGGCGATCAGACATCCGAATGCGAAGGCGATTCTGTGCATTGAGGTGAAAAGCGAGTTCCTATAAGTCGGTAGCACTGTTCGTGACTACACTTTTCGGTGATGTTGCGTATTCATTCTCCGGCGACTCGTGACATGCAAAAAGCGAAAGGTAAAGTACGCCGCGTCTGTAGCTCACATGAGCTTGAGCTTCTGCACGCTCTTCAGCACCATGAAGGAAGCCCCGACGCCCAGGCATGTCACCACCACGCCGACGGCCAATGCCACCCACCCAACGACAGCGCCAGGGTCCGGGAACGAGTAGCTTCCAATGTCAGAAGCCCACTGAGGCTCGGTCCAAATCGGCATCGACGAGTTAACAATGTCGTAATGCAGCACTGCCGTAGTTCGCTTGATCGCTGGGGAGCTGGCTTCGTGATGGAACGCACTCTTCGTAGCGCAAATTCCCGGGTGAACGCACTCCATTCCCTTTCCACCGTTGTGACAACCTTGACTTTGTGAGCACGAGGCAGCAGCAGCAGCAGTAGCATTCGGTACCATCGCAGAGGCCAGAAACGCGCGAGTGAAGAACTCGTAAGCGTTCGGGAAGAGGCGCACCGTGTAGTCGGCGTCGGACCACGACTCGTTGAACAGCGAATGCATCGACTCGTCACTACGTTTGAGAACAAGCATCGAGCCGTCGACGTCGATCGGACCGGGGTACAAAGTGGTCGGCACGGAGTAAGCTGGAGACGCCGAGTCTGACAGGCTCAGATACTCAATCAGCGTCGACTTCATGTACTGGGAGTAGTCGTTCATGAGGTCGCAGTTCCAGTCCGTCGTGATGCACAACAACATTGACCTGACCAGCGACGTATCCACTGCGATCTTGTCCATCTCTGCAGTTGTGGCATTACTAGAAGCGAGGATAAACACGCTCTCTGCTAGCACCTGCGCAGCCTTTGCAACTGCATCCACGTCCAGGAGCGTAAACTCGTCGTGACGACTGTTGTACGTCCTCTTCGAAGAGAACGTGCCGTCATATCCAGCTAGCACCGCGCCTACTAGATCACGCTTACCGTACTCACCGCCATTCACGAATGAGGTCAACGGCGTCGGGGGGAGAGAGCCTGTGCTGCCCTCAGTGACAGCAGAGGCAGCTGACGGTGCGCGCATAATCGCGTCCACGAGATTACTGGAATCGTTCGCGTTGGGATTCACGTGCACCGTAAAGTTGCCAGACTTCGGCAGAATGCCCACCTGGTCAACTGCAATCACGTACGAGATGTTAGCGAGCTGCAACTTAGCAAACTCTGTGCTACTTAGCATCGGCGACGTGCAAAAGCTCTTGCCCATGGGCGACACGGAGTCATCGACGGCGAACGCACAAGCTCCTTCCGGGTCCTTCGTGAATCGGTGCAGGTCCGACAGGAACTTCCTCGACCCGACAAAACCATACTTCTCGGCCTGAAACGCTGCAAACACCACCTTTTTATCGAAGGCCGAATCCGGCACTCCCTTGAGCGCATGAGCTGCTGCAAGCAGTGCCACAAGTCCAGACGCTGCCGTGTTGGCCCCCGGTGCCAGCACATGCGACAACGACGTCGCATCCATTCCAGCCATGGCCATGACGATCTCGTCCGACTTCAAGTTGCCCCTCATGGCCCACGAACTCTGTCCTCCAATCGGGTCGCACCGGGGACTGCGGTTTCCGTATATATTGGTGAACGTGAGGCACTTGATCGAGTCCATGTCTGCCGGTCCGAAGTAGTAGTTCATGAACGCCCTATACGTCGCGCCAGAGCCATTGTCCACGTTCTTCTGGGCGCGTTTCGTGAACTCCGCGCCGACTGTGGCGTTCTGCAGCATCACGACGGGAAACGGCAAAAGCTTTGTCAACAGCGCGTTGCCCGTCGGGTTCCACTTGGTCTTGTCACCTGCAAACGGGTTCAGCACTCCGTCGATCGTGCCGTCTCCTTGGGGGGCTCTCGCGTCAAACGACGCGTTCGTATCGCCGGCATCGGGAAAGATAAAGAGACCGCCAATGCGGTCGAAACCGGGCGAAAGCACGTCGTACTCCGCGAGCGATTCGGCCATCACGAGCACGTACTTGTCGTCGGTATCCACCAAGTGCGATTTTCCTGCGATAAAGTTCTGCAGGTCTTTCGAGCTCGTAATTGGGTACAGGGTCGCCATGTCGGTACTCGAGAGACTGCGGCAGCCGATACTTCCTCGTGTGTGGAACAAACGGACGCACTCGCCGCCCGTGGTGACCAAGTGATCCGGCGCGCCTGCAGTCACCGACGAGGCGCGGGACTCGCACCACTGGAGCAGCAGCAGAGCCACAGGCAGAAGAAGCGTCGACCGAACGGGGAGCTGCATCGCGCGTGGAACTGAACGTATGCCAAGTGCCTGTTCAATGGAATAGTCACCATAGCGCTCGCAGGGGCGGATCTTGACCGAATATTCCCAGCGCGTTCATCAAACATTGACAATAGCGACCGAAAGCTGATTTTGCACATCGAACGCGCCAACGTCTCGTCAACATTGATTTTGACCAAACACAGCCCGTCGCTTTTCGTGTGTCAAAACGACTGTTTCGATCGCGCGTCGACGGCCTCAGGTGCCGTAGATTTCGCGTCATGACGAAGCGGCGCGAGCTGAACGTGCGCGAGCTGCTCGAGCTGGAGCGCCAGATCTACCAGGAGAGTATCGACCGCGTGCGGAAGCAGCAGGAGGAGCTGAAAGCCGGGACGCTGGAGGACTTTGTCCGGCGCTGCCAGCCCTTCGAGGCGGATCGCGAGCGCGAGCTGCAAGTGGCGCAGCACCAGTACCACTTCTCGCTGCAAGACGCGTCCAGTCTCTTTGAGTTCGACGTGCAGCAAGCAAACGACGTGCTGCGGTCGGACGAGCAGCAACTGAAACTGGAGCTGCTCGAGCGCACCCAACAGCGTCGCCGGCGAATTGGACAGCGGCGGCAGATGTTGCAGGACGGCATTGTTGACACGAGCAACGTGAAGGCAGTGAACGTGACGCATTCGGATCGCGTCGACACGCGGCTGACCAAATTGGAGCCTGAGCTGCTGGAAAAACAGCTGCGGCGTGCACGACAGCGGATGAGGACGAGGTTCAATTTTCGACACTTGTCGCGAGGTATCTTGCCGACTCCGAAACGGATTGTGGACGATGTGGTACACGAGTGTGCGAAGTGCAGAGGAATCGAGAACGAGACGAAGGGGTCAAGATGGGGCAAGAGGAAGAGGCGGAGCAAGAGGTGGACGTAATCGTTGATGAGGTTGGAGAGAAGTTGATGTGTCGAGGACGTGTTGGCGAGAATGGTGCCGTGATGGACGAGGCGTTTTGTGTGGGCGATCCAGTGGTGTTGTTGTCAAAGTTGACGGAGGAGGACTTTCAAGGATTCGTGTCGGCTCTTTCAGAAGGAGGAAGTCAAGTTGGTGCTGGTGTGTGGATCGCACGTTCGCGTGACGCTTTGCACGACTACGTAGTGGGCAATGTGCTCTTCGAAAGCAATCGGAGACAGCTAACTCGGAACCGAAAGCGTTGCTTGGCGTTGCGGCTAATTTGACAGAGCTTACAGGATCCAGCAGACGTTCGACGACGCGCTGCTCAGTCATGCGTACGTCGAGCTGTTGTGTATTGCAAACGACCCTGGTCTTATAGTGTTGTTGTGTATGCGCCTGACAGACAGACTCAAGCTAAAGGCGACCGACGACAGCTGATGCGAATGATTCTGTAATGTCAACGAACGATTTTGCTGCAACAGAGCTCGTTGCAAGCATGTGTCTGGTTGTGGAATGACGACGTCTCTACTGTGTCTTCTTATGCGCTAATGGACGATCCGTTACGTCGACCTCTAGCAGTGGGCGGAAGGTATTGACGAACGTGTAGCGCGAGAAGACTGGCAAACAGGCGGCGGTACCACACAAACTGACTCTGGTGCAGTGCCATGGCATTGTAGTTCCACCATGGCCTGAAAACAAAGACGAATTGCCGATCCTGCTGTGCGTCCTCTGTCTGACGCGTCAACCATAATGACGGCACGGCATCCAGTATCCCAATGTACTTGCGCACGATATTCGTGCTCTCCAGAGCCCACCCGCGAACGACCTTTTCCGCACCGGCGTTCGGCGTAGTAGCAGCGCTGCATTTCTCCGATTGTTCACGCAGAGCCTGTTTGACTCCGCAATGGGTCGCAATGTGGTTTGGATGCCCCCGAGACGCCGTAGCCATCGAATGTAAAGACCTGCGATCGCCAACGCAAGACACACGCAGCGTCAGTCAGTTGCCGCTCCATCTGCCATCCTCCCATCTAGCATCCAGCCAGCAACAACAGCCGCAGCGCTCTACGAACCGCATCGATGCGGTGCTTGTCCACGTAGTCCAGCACAATCGCTGCAATCCGCGACGTGTCCCAGTGGTTCTGCATACCGTCTTGAAGCTCGGGCTCCTCCAGCACGTGGACATGGGGGAGTTGCCAGTCCAATGTGGCCGGCACACGCGCGAAGTTCCTGCTCTCGGACGGCCCCCTAAGCCATCAAAGTTGCCCCGGGAGAGGCACAGCAAGTGGTGTCCCCGCTGCTCGCGACCAGCGCTGGATCTGAGCTGGAGCAGGTGCACGAGAGGCAAAGAACATGCTCTCGTCGTCGGGATGGGCCGTGACGAGCAGCGCCCGTTTGGTCGGCGCGGAAGACTCATTTGGCTCGCCGCTGGAATGGGACGACGTTTACGAGCGCTGAAACGACGAACAGGAGGACATTGGCGCCCAACAAGAGGTGCTTGGGCGCCTCAAGGCGCGTCTGGAACTCCTCGTCGTTGAGGTCAAAGAGCATTGCGACGCTCTTTTCGCGCAGTGAGCGGATGATGTTCGTTTTCGGACCGAGTAAATTGGTAGCGATGTGGTAAGTACGATCACCAGACGACCTGTTCAGACCGCGAAGACCTCTTTGTACCGAGCGAGAAACATAACGGCAGTATTGGAAATCTGAGCGACGACGACGACGGACTGTCGTAGCCGCTGATGTTGCTGCAGTTGGCGCATTTTAGCCACTATTGGAACGGACGTAGTCCGCGGCAAAACGCACGCGAGTCCAGTAGGAAATACGCGATCGTTAACGACGAGACGACGACGTTGAGCTCCGAGCGGGTGAACGGCGTACGTCGTCAGATCTCGGCGATATGTTCAACACAAACGGCACGAGAGACTCCGCGCCGTCTCCGTCAATGAACTGCTGTTGGAGCTGCAGGTCGAAGATACAGTTGCAGATACCTGTTGGTCATTCCACCAGCGACGCATCTGCACAAGCTGACGTGGGGACGTCGTTGTGGACGGACCTTTTCGGGCAGACCCACAGGCCGTCGCTGTCGTCGTTGTGGGTCTCATTGACGTCGGTGGATCCGCCGGAATTTGGCGACGGCGAGGATGTCCTTGAACAGGTCCATGATGCGCAGAGCCTGAAGGACGTGGATTGATGCGCAGGGTCGTAGGCAAAGTTGGCCAGATGGG